GAGAACGTTCTGCAAAAGATGCAACAGCGACAACACGCAACGAGAACATATGTTGCAAGAAGTGTAGATTCTCCCCCTCCCCCTGCCCCTGTCCCCTCCCTCCTCTTTCCACAAACAGTAGCGATATTGCAAGCAGAGATAATGTTGCAAGGAGTGCCGTTGGCGGGGTACTGCGATGCGAAGCGATAGCAGTAATACGGAGAGATGTGCGTGCGCGCGCGAGGACGAATTTGCATAACGAACTCTCGCTGTCGAAGAATAATTCGGAAAAGTTGCGTTTGAGAGGAAAAAAAGGGAAAGCGAAAGAGAGAAAGGGAGACAAGACGGAAGAAAAAAGAAACGGTAATAATAAGGGAAAAATGAACAGATAAAAGAAAGATGGGTAGAGCAAAGTATCAAAAGAAAGATAAATAAAAAGAAAAGAAACGACAAAACCAGCAATAAACAACAAACGAGAGAAAATGAACAAGAAACCAAATCAAAAAAAGAAAAACAAACAAAAAACCCAAAAAACAAAGAGTCAACGAAACCAAAAAAAAAAGAAAAAAGAAAAGAAAGAAACCGACCTAGACCCAAAAGAAACAAGAAAAGGACAGAAAGCCAGAGAAACGAAAGAGACAGAGAGAGCAAGAGAGGGAAGGAGAGAGATAGCGAGTGGGAGGTCCGGACGCCCTAAGCCCCTTAAATAGAGCGGCCGCCGATGCAGTGATGAGATAGAGGAAGCGGCGTAATGAAGAGATAAGTTCTATCTTAACCACATCTCGCGCGCGCTGGGCCTTGGGTGGGAGGGGGGAGGAGGGGAGGAGGGGAGGGGGATGAGAGGAAGGGGAGAGGAGGGGAGGGGAGGGGGATGAGGGAAAGGGAGGAGGGGGGATGGGAGAGGGGAGGGGAAGAGAAGGGAGGGGAGGGAAGGGGAGGGGAGGGGGATGAGGAAAAGTGAGGGGAGGGGAAGGGAGGAGAGGGGATGGGGTAGAGGGGAGAAGGGGAAGAGTGAGGGGAGGGGAAGGATGAGAGGAGGAGAGAGGAAGGATAAGGGGGAGGGGAAAGGAGGGAAGGGGATGGGTGAGGGGAGGTGGGAGGCAGGAAGGGGATGGGTGAGGGGAAGGGAGGAAAAAGGAAGGGCGAGGGAAAGGGAGGAGAGAGGAAGGATGAAGAGAGGGGAAAGGAAGGAAGAGAATGGGTGAAGGGAAGGGAGGAGAGGGGAAGAGTATGGAGAAGGGAAGTCTTGGGAAGAGAGGGGAAAGGAGAGGAGGGGAAAGTAGAAGGAAGGAGGGAAGAGTGAGGGGAGGAGAGGTAGAATGAAGGGAAGGGAGGTGAACTGGCGATGCAAAGGAAGAGAAAGAAAGGATAGGAAAAGAGAAAGGGAGGATGAGGGGACGGAGGTAAATATGGGAGAAGGGAGGAGGGATCTGAAGGAAGGGAAAGGGAAAGTTGAAGGGAAAAGGCGAGGGGAAACGGATAGGGACACGGCGGGGGAGGGGAAAGGCCACCAGCAAAGTGCGAAAGTGAGGAAAACGAATTGGAAATGAAGGGGAAGAGGGAAAGAGGGCGAGAGGACATACAAAGCTGAGAGATACCGAGGGGAAATTAGGGGTAAATAGAAAATAAAACAAAAAGATAAAAACGGACATAGCAAAACGTACACGAGAGAAAAAGAAGAAAAAGAAGAAAAAAAAACGCACGATAGTACTAACCCCTCCCCCGCCCCCACCAAAAAAAAACAAAACAATAAAAATTATAATGATATGATAAGCTAAATAAAAAAAATCAAGAAAGATAATTAGAAACAGAAAACCGTAGACCCAAAGACCCGGACAGAGAAAGAAGAAGAAAGGAGACCCAGTCATTCGAGGGGAAAAAGTGGGAGGAGCCACGCAAGAAGAGAGGGAGGAGCCAAGATGAGCGAGAGAGAGAGAGAGAGAGAGAGAGAGAGAGAGAGAGAGAGAGAGAGAGAGAGAGAGAGAGAGAGAGAGAGAGAAAGGTATACAGAGAGAAGCAGAGAGCGAGCAGTCGAGACAGAGCAAGAGAGAAAGAGAAATAAAGCAAGAGAAAGAGAGAAATAAGGAGAAAGAGAGAGAGAGAAGGAGAGAGAGAGAAGAGAGAGAGAGAGAGAGAGAGAGAGAGAGAGAGAGAGAGAGAGAGAGAGAGAGAGAGAGAGAGAGAGAGAGAGAGAGAGAGAGAGAGAGAGAGAGAGAGAGAGAGAGATGATGGGACGTGGCTTCGCGCGCGGCCGAGAGGGGGAAATGAGCTGGAAAGATGATTTAATTTGTAAGGGATTTCATTCTAAGTGATTTACAATTTGGGAGAGAGGAGGAGATGGCGGCCTCGAGTTGTTTTTTTCTCTCTTTTTTTAACCGTTCTCTGCTTCCTTTTTTGAGGGGGGGAGGTTTTTTTTTTGGGGGGGGGGAGGGGGCGACAAGGGGGATGTGGAGGTCAAATTGTGATTTTTTTTTTTGAGTTTTAACATTGGTAATATTAATTATTAATGCCGTTATCATTAGCATTCTTCTTTTCTACTTCTTATTATCAGTATCATTATTATTATTACGATTGCTATTACTATCATCATGATTATTTTCATTATCTTTATTTTGATTTCTCTATCAATTCATTGTTAACCTATTTAGGAATTTATAGCCCATGAGAGAGAGAGAGAGATAGAGAGAGAGAGAGAGAGAGAGAGAGAGAGAGAGAGAGAGAGAGAGAGAGAGAGAGAGAGAGAGAGAGAGAGAGAGAGAGAGAGAGAGAGAGAGAGAGAGAATTATATAGACAGATATATATATATATATATACATACATATATATATATATATATATATATATATATATATATATATATATATATATATATATATATATGTATATATATATATATATATGTATATATATATATATATATATATATATATATATATATATATATATATATATATATATATATATATATATATACATATATATATATATATACATATATATATATATATATATATATATATATATATATATATATATATAGAGAGAGAGAGAGAGAGAGAGAGAGAGAGAGAAATTGAGTTAGCACGAAGGGGAAAGAAGTTCTCTCTCGGTCCAACCGAGCGCTCGCCGCTACACTTAGCGATGAAGCGCTAGAGATAAGATCGCTCTTGAAAGTTCGCTTTAGAGAGAGAGACAAAAAAAAAGAAAAAAAAAGAGCAAAAGATAAAATGAAAAAGTTAGACCATTATCCTACCTCCCCCCAATTCCCCCTCCCCCCTAAAAAAAAAGGGAAAATAAAAGATATATATTTTTTCTTAGCGAGATCGCCGACACCCCGCGGTCCTCATACACGATAACATTGACAGGCGCACAATCAAGAATAAAATGCCTATCTCCCCACTCCCCCCACTCTCCCCCTTCCCCCTACCCTCTTTCACCCCCCCCCCCCCACCCAGTTGGCCCGCTTCACCCCCTCCCCTCATCGACGCGAGATTGTTCCGAGATAAATAATGGATGAGAGTTTAACTTTGAGGGGGGTAGGGGGGTGGAGGGGGAGGTGGGGAGAATGTTGTGGGTTGGATTTGGGAGATAGTGGGGTGGTTGCGGTTGTCGGCGTTGTGGCTGGTGTGAATGTTCGTGCGCTTGTAGATTTAGTTACCAATGCAGAAAGACACATACCTCCACCCACACACACACACACACACACACACACACACACACATACATACATGTATATATATATATATATATATATATATGTGTGTGTGTGTGTGCGTGCGTGCGTGCATATATCCACATAAACATGCATGTATATGCATCTACGGAAATCCAAGAGCAAGCCCCGAGGAGCTAAGGAGGGGAAGGAGCCAGCCAGGGCCGCGTAAACCTCGAGAGCGAGAGCGAGGGCGAGAGCGAGGGCGAGGGCGAGGGCGAGGGCGAGGGCGAGCAGCCATTCGTATTACTCCGGCCTCCAAATGCTCCCTTAATGAAGCTCTTTGGCCGCGCTCCGATTGCTCCGAGAGACGTTCATACTTTGTAAATCTCGAGACGAGGCCATGGCGCGGCATCTCAAGCGGGGCGGCGGAGAGCGTGCGCGAGGGGGCTGGGTGTGTGTGTGTGTGTGTGTGTGTGTGTGTGTGTGTGTGTGTGTGTGTGTGTGTGTGTGTGTGTGTGTGTGTGTGTGTGTGTGTGTGTGTGTGTGTGTGTGTGTGTGTGTGTCTGTTTGTATATTTCAACGAATGTATTTATCTTTTCTTTCGAATCTATATTAATAGTAGCACAGAATTTCTCAGCACAGTCGAAAAAAAACGGAAAAAATACAATCATTATTTAGCTCTTCTCTTTATCAGAGGAAGAATACGGATACTAATTAAAATCATCTAAAATATAAATATGTCTCAGTCGCATAACAAACGCAGCTGCAGATAAATGCAAATTACATCGCTTATCTAAATATTATGTGGCAGTCAAGAATAATAATATTTTTATAGCTGCAATAAACATTAACAATGATAACATGATCGACAAAATTATAACAAAGTAGATAAAACTTGATCAATTGATAACTGATACAAAATGATATCTATGGCGTAATGTAGAGAAATATAACTACTTGCATTTATCTACTCTTTGCTATATTTATCTATTTCATTCATACATTTTTACGAGCTTCATCATTTACGAATTTATATCTCATTTGGTTTCGGTTCATATCTTTTTATCTATTATCATCATTGTCTGATAATCATTATCCTTTTCTTCTTTGTTTTTCTCTGTATATACAGATTTCACAAACAAACTCGCTTCTTACGAATTTTATTTAAAAAAAGCGTCGCTTACATGCATCCATTCACTAGCATCGACCTTTACCAGCATTTTCCAGCGATCTTCGTACGTCGCCGCAAGTATTCCCCGAGCCCGAAACTCCTACAGGCTCAACAACGCAACGATAAAATCCCCGAAAACAAGGACAACAACCAAAGAAGAACTGCCAAACGAAGAAGCAAGAGGAGTTCACCCACCTTGACCTGCGACTCCGTCATGCCGAGGGCGTAGGCCAGCTTGGCTCGCTCGGGGCCCGCCAGGTACTTGGTCTGCTCGAAGGTCTTCTCGAGCGCGAAGATCTGCTGGCCGCTGAAGGTGGGGCGCGTGTGCTTCTTCTTGCCGTCTTTGTCCATCGGCATGGCTGGGATCCCTGGCGGGGAGATAGACGTGAGTGGGGGGAATTTTTAGGGGGAGGGGGGGAGGGGGAGGGGGGAGGGTATGTGGGGGCGAGGGGGTTGGGGTTCGAAGGGTTGTGGGGATTGTGCTTCGTGATGGGGCTGTGGTAGGGATGTGTAGTGATGATTTTAATAGTTACTACACCTGACTATGATTAGGTAGTTATAATGCAGTTGGTGCCGCAGATAAAACAATTGTCACAAGGATGGCTTTAATGATGATGGTCGAGCAATAACAAATCGCACAACTCCGGACTCCGTGCATGTCAATTTGGCGTCGGATTTCGCCTCCGATCCGCAGCGCCCGTTTGGGTAAATCAAGCGAGTCTATAACGAGTCCCAATGACGCTCCCATTAGTCATGCCGTTAAAGAGCATCGTCCTAACATCAGCGGGCGTTCCATCCCTCTCTCAGTCTTCCTCGAAGGTCTCTCCCCTCGCCCTCCCCCTCCCCTTCCGCCCCACGCCCCTCCCCCCGCACCACGCCCCTTCAACACCGTCATTTTACGAGCGATAACCGGCCCGCGCGCCCCGGATCCGTATCTCCGCCGCACTAAACGAATTTGTCACGACAAGGCCATAACAGCTCATGAGGCAGCGGGCGAGGGAGCGAGGCGGAGGGAGGAGGAGGAGCTGGAGGAAGCCTAGGAGAAACGCCGCACGTGCGCACGCCCTCGTCAGCACGTGCCAGGCTGCTATCAGCACGTGCGGGGCGCGTGCTAACAAGTCCTCGTCACTAGGAGGGAGTGCGGCGTGGCGTGACACGACTCGCGAAGTCGAGTCGATTTTTGACATTTATAAACTTTCTTTAAGGTACAAGAACTGATAAGATATACAAATGAGTTCATAGTTCGGGTAACATTTTTACAAGAAAGGGAAATGAATGAAAAAGTCTCATGAACTAAATCTCACAAAATCCTCATCCTACAAAAAATAAAAAATAAAATAAAATTACTAGCAGAATGCAGTTATAGCTACGAACACCTAGTTCCTCTTGCCATCTTTTCCTTTCGTTGAATAACACTACCATGAAGCACCGGGCAGTTGGTAACCCGAAAGAGTATTCTGCCCTGGAATCCTTCCCGGGATACCAGGGCAGAGGAATGGCTAGTCAATGCAGTGTGTCTGTGCGTCGTGTGTGTCTATTATCACATGCTGTGCCTTCCCCTCTGACTCCTTTCTACCGCCTCTCTTAACCTTTCCCCCTTTTTCCACTTGTTTATCACCCCTCCTTCCCCTCCCCCTTTTCTGCAATCCCTTTGCAAATCGAGTATCTAGACCGCACCGAACGCCATTTCGGGGTCTGGTGTCTCCTGGTTCTAGAGCAACATAATCGCCTCTTTGCAGGTCGATGCTACTGCCGGCGATAGCGATTGTTATCCAGCGCTGAAGCCGGGAACAGGGCGCTGTCTGCTTGACGTGGCGACGGCTGAAAGTGCCTCTGCTTCCCTTTTTTATTTCGGCCGAGTATATGCAGAGGGGAGGGGGGGGCGCTCTCCCATGGGCATAAAGGGATTAAGGTAAAGGTACTCGGTGCATCAGCGGTTATAAAGTGCTTCTAAACAATGACTTGCTCATTTCCGAATAGATGGGCACACACACACGCGTTTGCAAATACTCGGATCTCAGTCTAGTGGATTGTTTGAGTATTTACTTTGGAGTAGATATTTAAATATGATATTCGCATATACATAATGATATTAACTACATGAATAAACAACAATGAACACCTCAAAACAAAAATAATGTTTACACAAAAACACGGTAAGACACTCACTCAAATCACACAAAAAACAGCAAACATAAACACACACACACGTATAGATAAAAAAAAAACGACAACAACACACCAACCACAAACACGCCAGCCAAACAAAACGAACCCGATAAAGCACAACCCAATCAGAAGAGACAGATTAAGCATAATCTGGGCCTGAAAATCACCGCGAAAGATGACCCTCAAAATTGGCTCCGCGGTTATAAGATCGGCCCCTCTCTCTCTCTTTCTCTCTCTCTCTCTCTCTCTCTCTCTCTCTCTCTCTCTCTCTCTCTCTCTCTCTCTCTCTCTCTCTCTCTCTCTCTCTCTCTCTCTCTCTCTCCCCATCGTTATCCACCAGTTTTGTCAACACGCGTGTCGAACGGGAAGGGGATGGGGAGTGAAGGGGGACGGGGCGGGGAGGGAAGGGGAGAGGGTGGGAGAGGAGGGTAAGAGAGGGGAGAAAAGGAAAGCGGAGAGTAGGAGATGGGAAGGAAGAGCAGGAGGAAGAGAAAGAGGAAGAGTAGGAAAGGGGAAGAAAGGGAAGTGGAGAATTGATGAGGGAAGAGAAGAGAAAAGGAGGGAAAGGGATGGTACGAATAGGAGATGAAAACAAAACGAAAGAAGAAACGAAAAAGGACTAGGGGGCGGAAACAGCAGCGGCCGCCCGACCTCCCCGCCCCTCAAAGCGGCGCCACGTGACCGCACCGGCGGCCAATCGCCCTCCGTCAGCCTCGCCTTCGCTCAGCCTCCAGTTAAGAGTGAATAATTGTGTGTCTTCGTCATAATGGCCGGGGCGATTGTCTGGCGCGTGGGCAGATTACTCGCCTCGTGGGAATTGTATATCAAATAGTCGCTCGTCCTGTAAATATTATTATATGTGCTCGCCGACTGACTGACTGACTGATCCCCGCGCGCTCAGTCGTCGGGGCGACGCGGCGTAGAGAGAGAAGCTGAGTGTGAGGGCGGATATGGGAGGCCGGTATGTGTGTGTGTGTGTGTGTATGTCTGTGTGTGTGTGTGTGTGAGCGCGTTTATATAATCAGGGCTGTAGTACTCTTAACAAAACGACAAAATAATCCACCCCTTTAACGTCCTCCTCCTCCTCCTCCTCCTCCTCCTCCTCTTCCTCCTCCTCTTCTTCCCCCTCCTCCTCCACATCTTCCGACTGGACCAAGGGGTCAGTCCAGGTCACCAGCCAATCCCTGGCGGTGACCTCGTGGCAACTCCAGCGTGACCACACAACACTCCAGGAGATTTGTGTCGCGGGTGATCCAAGAGGGGAGCTCGGGAGGGGAGAGAGAGGAAGAGGGGACAGAGGAAAGAGGAGAAGAGAAGGAGGGAGGCGGAGAGAGATTGAGAGGCGGGAAGGGAGAGAGAGGCGAGAGAAGAGGGAGAGATATATGGATAGATGGATAGGTATATATATAAATATGTATATAGATAGATAGATAGATAGATAGATAGATAGATACAGAAATAGATAGAAAGAGAAAAAAAGAGATAAAATAACGCAGAGACAGAAACATTTTTTTTAATACGGAAATAGAATCAAAGATGGTATTTGCGATTAAAAAAATGCAAGATAGAAAAACTAATGACATTAATCGAGTATGATAACCAACGAACCCAAAACAAAGATGATAATAACACCAAGAAACATTATCGCAAGACATATACAATCTTCCTCTCCCCTCCCCTCCCCTCCCCTTCCCTTCCCTTCCCCCTTTCCCTTCCCTTCCCTCCCCTTCCCCCTTTCCCTTCCCTCCCTCCCCTCCCCTCCATCGCACATATCATAACCACCGCCGGAGAATGGGAAGTAATTAAGTTATCACATGCAAGCAATTAGCCTCATAAAACTAGCGAAGTATCCGACTTCTCTTCTTTTTAAGCGAAAAAAGAAAGACTCGTCAATCAGGATCAGGTATTTACTCTCTCTCTCTCTCTCTCTCTCTCTCTCTCTTTCTTTCTCTCTCTCTCTCTCTCTTTCTCTCTCTCTCTCTCTCTCTTCTTCCCCTCCACCTCCCTTCCTCCATCTCTCCTCTTCTGCCTCTTCCTCTCTTCTTATCCCTCTCTCTCCTTCTCCCCTCTTTTCCTCTCCCCCATCCCTCCTTCCAACCACCTCCTCCTCCTCCTCCCCCCCTCTCCTCCATCCCCCACCTCCTCCTTTCTCGCCACACACAAAGGGAACTCTTACTTTGTAGCAGCATCATAAAGCACTAACTTCAAACTACAGCTTCACCCTAACAAGCTAATGTTTAAGCTTTATAGATGTACGGACGGACTAGAAGGAAGGAAACAAGGGAGGGAAGGGAGAAAGGGAGGGGAAGGGGGAGGGAAGAGGGGAAACGAAGAGGGTAGGGGGAGGGAAGAGGGGGAAATGAAGGGGGAAGGGGGAGGGAGGAGAGGAAAGGAAGGGGGAAGGGGGAGGGAAGGGAGGAAAGGACGGGGAAGAGGGAGGGAAGGAATTTCCACAAAGCCCGAATACCGAGCCGTGAGGGAGAAAAAGAAAGGAAGAGAAAGAGAAGAAAAATAGAAGAACTAATGGAGAAATCGTCTGGAATGAAGTAACAAGTCTTCTCTAAGTTCAAATCAGAAAGTCCCAGAGGAGAGAGAGAGAGAGAGAGAGAGAGAGAGAGAGAGAGAGAGAGAGAGAGAGAGAGAGAGAGAGAGAGAGAGAGAGAGAGAGAGTGAGAGAGAGAGAGAAAGAAAGAAAGAAAGACAGAAAGTAAGAGAGGGGGGGCAAACAGACAGTCAAAAACACGACATCATGCATAGATAGCTACAGGGACACAGACAGACAGAAAGAGACACAGAGAGAGAAAGAGAGAGCGAAAGAGAGAGCGAGAGAGCGAGAGAGAGACAGTACTGGCCACCAGCCGTCCGAACATGGGGTCGTTTTTGCGTGGCGGATGATTGTGTGTTTGTGTCTAATTAAACTGGCGGCGGCTGCTGGTAATGGCGGCCGATGACCAGTGCTACCACCTCGGCGCAGTCCTACCAACATAAGCCTTTATTATTGCTGGATTATTTGACACTCGCTCTCCTTCTGCTGTTTTTTTTTGAGGGGGGGGAGGGGAGGACGAATGGAGATTTCTCTGTTTCTTGTTGGGGATTTCTGGAGATAATTTTTCTTTCAAGTACCTTGCTTTGAGAGGCCGGGTATTGCTTAAAGGTTGAAAGGGAAATGCTTTGAATCTGGAAGGCGAGGCTCGTAACG